TTTGCTGACGAGATGTCCGAGTACTTTAATACTTTTGCCAGCAAAGTGGCACTTCTTGGTGTTGAGCTGAAGGCCAGCAGCTGCGAGACACGTCAGAACTTCATCTAGGCGCTGCAAGTGCTGTTCGAGTGTTGAAGAAAGTATGACGATGTCGTCAAGGTAACATAAGCATGTTTTCTACTTAAGGCCCCGCAATACAGTGTCCATCAGTCATTCAAATGTTGCTGGCGCATTGCAGAAGCCGAAAGGCATGACGTTAAATTCGTAAAGCCCGTCGGGTGTGGCAAAGGCAGTTTTTTCATTGTCATCCTCGTTCATTGGAATTTGCCGATACCGGAGCGCAGGTAAAGGCCCGAAAAATATTCCGCTCCTTGTAAGAAATCTAAGGCATCATCAATGCGAGGCAAGGGATATTCGTCTTTTCTGGTTACTTTGTTTAATGCGTGGTAGTCAACGCAGAATCGCACCAAACCGTCTTTTTTTCTTGCGAGAACGATAGGTGACGACCAAGGGCTTGAGGAGGGGCGGATGATGTTTCGCTTGAGCATATCAGCAATGTGCTTGTCGATGATCTCGCGTTCGCTGGAAGAAACACGGTATGGTCGACGACGGACAGTAGAAGTTCCGTCGGTGTGTATGCGATGAGCCACCGCAGAAGTCTGGCTTAGAGCAGTGGAATGTATGTTAAAAGAAAATTTATGCTTAGACAACAACGCCAGTAGTTCGTCTGCTTGCGGGGGAGCGAGATCCGTGCTGATGGCATTGACGATAGCCATAGTAGGTGGAGCATCTGTTGGTATAACGTGATTCCACCAGACTGGTATCCGAAGCCACTACAGAGAAAAGGTTGTGTGTCCAACTGGAAACTACAACAGTGCCCTTGGTCAGCAGAATCGGCTCATTGGTGATATTCAGTACTGCGAGAAATGTGGTGCCATTGGAGAAGCGGACAAGACTCGATGAAAGTGCAATCCCTCTGGATAGACAACGGGCTGGTGGACTGACTAGGACGTCACCGTGGTCAATGGAGTCAGACATAACCGTGATAACGTGCTCGTGGTTAAGTGGCACAAGGAAGTCATTGGCTGTTCGTAGCCGGTTACGTGATAATTTCGGGGAAATATCATTCGTCTCTCGCATACGTATGTGTCATTGTCTACAAGATATGGAAGCAGCAGCATCAGAAAGAAAGTCCCATCCTAAAATAACCATAGAAGCACAAGAAGCCAGCACAGCAAACTTAATATGATGCCGGATCCCATCAATAAAAACTCTAACGGTGCACTGTGCTGATGTCCGTATCTGCGAGTCATTTGCGCTACGTAAGAGAGGGCCAGTATAAGGTGTGGTAACCTTACGTAGACGAGTACACAAATCCGCATGAATAACAGAAATAGCAGCCCCCGTGTCCACCAATGCCTGAGTTGGTACCCCTTCCGCATACACTAATAACACGTTGGCTGGGCCCTCCGGAGGTCTTGGTGTTCGTTCGAGTGATGCAGCTTTCCCTCCAAAAACTGCACCAGCTAGTTTTCCGAGTGGCAGTCAGAAGTAGGTACAGCTGGTCTCAGAGAAGATGTTGAGCGTCGTAGAGGTGAAGGGGACCGGCGGCGTCTGGGAAAGCAGGGGCGAGGTGCGGCGAGTGGAGAAGTCGGAGAGAAGGAACGTATCGTGGGGCGTCGCTGGTACTGGTTCGGGGATGGCTCCGAATCCCTTTCGTAAACATCGTAGCCACGGCGTTCGTCCTGTTGGCGCTTGCGGCAAAATCATGAAATATGGCCCCGAATGCCACAACAGTAACATATTGGGCGAGGCGAGCGCCAGGGGGCGTAGTGTGCTGGAGCTGTCACAGGCGCTGGTACTGGCACTGGGACAGGCGAGTGTGGTGCAAATGCTGCTACGTTGGACTGCGCAGGAACAGTACGCGCGTGCTGAACCAAGGCAGGTGGCATGGCAGCGACTTGCGCATACGTCATGGGTGGTGTTGGTGGCGCCATAGTGTTCGATGGGAGATCGCCAGCCATGGATGAGAGCTCCTCTTTGACGATGTCGCGGAGACCAGCAGATTGAGAGTGAGGCCGAGGGAGGGTGCACATGACAACCCTTGCGCTTGAAGTTCCTCAGGAATCAGAGTGCGAATCAGCGCGCGCGAATCAGCATCCGAGGAAGGCCGGCGGTCACTGGCGTCTGGGTAGTCTGGGTGCAATCGAATGGCTTGGAGTTCATCAAGATGCTGACATGTCGTGATGACGTCCTCAACGGTCGTGGGGTTTCTAACAGCCAGAGCGTTAAACGCGACATGGCCTATCCCTTTGATGATGTGGCGAACACGATCAGCTTCTGTCATCGCCGAGTTCACGCGGTGGCGAAGGGCAAGGAGGTATTCAATGTACGAAGTGTACGTCTCCCCGGGAAGTTGGGCACGCCCATCGAGCTTTCGTTTCGACACTTCGGAATGGATGTTCGGTTTTCCAAAATCCTACGGACTTGTTGAGCAAAAGTAGGCCAATCCGGGAAGCTGCTCTCGTGGTTGAAAAACCACGTTTTCGCGACATCGGACAGATAGAAGGCGATGTGACGAAGTTTTTGAGGCTCATCCCATTGGTTATAAACACTGGTCATGTCGTATTCTTTTAGCCATGCCTCGACGTCGTCGCGTGGAAGACCACAGAAGATGGGTGGGTCTCGCTGCCGGGCGTTGGCGATCCACGCAGGAATGGTTTGTTGCACAGGGATGCTGGATGTTCCGGGCAGCTGTTCTTGAGCTATGACAGCGGACGGGGGAAGCAAGCGGCGACCCGAACGAAGCTCCACGAGAACGTGAAATCGGAGAGAACTTGGGGATCGACGCACCTCCACCACTCTGTAAGACAGCAGCAGCGTTGGAGTCTCGACGGCGTTTATTAGGCCGAATCACCTGATCAACCCTTCGAACGAAGACGATGTTTTTTGTGACGATCATCACTATATACAGATGAAGATGAAGGTCAAACGTTGCCAATATTGTGCTTACAATGTTAATAAGTATACGAGATATTCTACAAATCTGGAAATCTGGCGGAATCATTCACTTCGTCACCTTCGTCTTACTAAGCTATTTGGAAACCATTTTGAATTACGGTTTAATTGCATTCCTTCATTTTGCTCATCATATTGCCATGAGTGCTGTCAGGTGTGTCTGCCGCTCTTCGCGTTACATTACAAGAATTAAGAGTGTGACGGTAAGGTGGACCAGTTAGTTGGGGTTCATCGTGAACTTGTTTAAAGCGCAACACCAGAAACGCAGGACAGGGAAGGAACGAAAGAGAGACTCCTTCCCTGTCCTGTGTTTTTGGTGTTGCGCTGTAAACAAGTTCACGATGGATTAAGAGTATGTCGCGTCTACATGGAACAGGTCACGCTTGCCAATGAAAGCTGCATGCCTTCCCCCCTAATAATTGACGCAGGTACATGCAATCTGTCATACCCTCTGTCTGTTTTGTCCCGTCTAGTGTTTTATGAAAGGCGTGCGAACGGTTCTCTATTACCAGGTCGAAGTTTCACCGCAGCAACATCCCTTCCCCCCAACCATAGGGCGAGTCCGACGGAAAAGACGCATCCCAGTGAAAAAAAAAAGCGCGAAAATAAGCAGTGATTGACTCATGACAGCGGCCTGCCTTTCGTCCGTGTCTTACTAAGGTCAAAGTGAGTAGCAAATAATTCAGTGCAACATTACGGGTCCTCAGTTTCTATAATCCAAAACCTACAAAGCCATAAGTGTGCACGTTAACCAATGACAAAACAGGCTCTATTAGGTAAATATATGGTGCTTATTTGGTGGCCTCCTTGTATCAGTAGGCAGGCATCCCTACCCCTCCAGCTGTACGGAAACATATGTAACCTATAATGTCTAGGCTAGTAGTCGCAACACCGCCACCACCTAGTGGGAGCCGACCTACAGTACAGTGCCATGACCAGCTAAGATCGTGTTCAATCTGACAACGCATACATGGTGCTGTTTCGATTCAGAAAAAACAAACGCCTTAAAGCAATCATGTAACACATGCGAATAAGTACACCTCTAGGTAAATCTTAATCGCATCACAGAAAGAGAACAGGTTTACGCGTACAAGATATTGCACTATCTCCCGCTAAAGAGAACCATGTAAGGATGCGAAGCAGCGGGGAGAACGGCACCCACAAAAACTGGCCCACGACTTGTACGCCATCATTCAGAACCTCTACCTGACTAACACTGCCTGTGACCATCGCTTGATGCCAGCTAGTGACCACTGCTGCGAACGCCGCAGACGACCATGGCTATAGCACTGCTAAACAGCCGGTCCCTCAGCGCACACGCCAGATACATCGAACGTGATCCCGTTCTAACCAACTTCACACGTGCGCGCTTTCTTTAACGGAAACGTGGAACGCGTTTCCATGGGGAGCGTAGCGGGAGGGGGGCATAGAACCGGAGAGAGAGTGGGAAGAGGATGCGCATGCGCAGTGGATGTGGAGACACCACACTGCTGAGGAAGCGTTTCCTTGTCCTCGTCAGCGAGTCTGAAGCACGACTGTGATAACCGGATAGTCCTGAGCCATGTCGGTCGCTGGACCGAATCACACACACGTACGTTGGCGGGTTCCACAATGACTGGCTGGTCATGTGCGCCGTATTTATTTCCTTGCAACAACGACGCCCCCGGGCGCCGGAACGGCAAACTAATCATATCACATCCCTCCCCCCTTTATTAATGGTTGCAAACAATTGTTTAAGGTGCGTAGTGCGATACTGGTCATCGAATTCTGGTACTTCGATGCAGGACAGGAGTACTGGGTGCTGTGACAGCAAGTTCCGGTTCCCTCGCCACGTCTTCCCTGGGATCTGGCCTAGACTCTGTGTCGTGAAGACGATCCGGAGATAGCTGCCTCTGACCTACGTCCAAGCCTGGAGCAAGACCAGTTAGCTGCGTCTGACCCACGTCCAAGCTTGTAGCAAGACCGGTAGATACTGGGCTGCCTTATTTTTGGTTGTCTGCACTCAGTTCCTCAGGGGCCTGGCGGATGTGATCCAGATGTCGAGTTAACCGTCGTCCGTCTTCCAGTAGAACATCCATCGACGAAGTGCGTTGTTCGGTGACGACTGCAGGGAGCCACGCAGGTCCTGGACGGAAGTTCCTTGCGAATACCTGGTCACCCGGGTGGCCCAAAACCCTCGGTCTTGTTCCTTGGTCGCATCTGATTTTCTGCTTAAGTTGCTTCTGTAGCACCTTGGTCCTGAGGTCTGGGTGTAGCAGGTCCAACGCAGTCCTCAGCTTCCGCCCCAACAACAGCTCCGACGGACAGCAACCCGTGACCTCGTGAGGCGTTGACCTGTATGTCAGGAGCATGCGGGCAATTTGAGTGCGGATACCTCCAGGGCCAGCCTTCCGCAACGTGTTTTTGCAGTCTGCACGGCCCGCTCTGCAGCACCGTTTGACGCTGGATGATACGGCGGCACCAGCATTCACCTCACCCCGTTTTTCTTGAGGAATGTGGAGTAAAGCTCACTGGTAAATGCTGGCCCATTATCCGACACGACCACATCTGGAAGGCCTTGGTTTGCGAACATACTGCGCATGCAGGAAATAGTTGCTTCAGCCGAGGGTGTAGAGACCGGGAAACTTTGAAAACGCATCGACTGCGATAAAAAAATAGGTGTTCCTGTAAGGACCGGCATAGTCCACATGCAGCCGTGACCACGGTTTCTCCGGGAACGGCCAGGGCATGACAGGCACTGGTCGTGACACTCTTTGATGCTCCTGGCAAATACGGCACCTTTGAATGGTTATCGCTATATCGTTATCCAGCCTAGGCCACCACACATGGCTACGCGCAACTGCCTTCATTTTGGACAGTCCTGGATGACTCTCATGCAGCAGCTGGAGGACTTCCTTTTTGCAATGATTTTGGAACAATGACTCTGTTGCCCCACAATAGACAGTTCCCTTGCACGCTCATCTCATGAAAGCGCGTCTCGTAGGGTCTTCCCTCTGACCCTAGGTTTATCTGGCAGCCTGACCACAACGCTGCTCTTACTTGTGACAGCACCGGGTCTCTGGAGGTGGCTGCCGCAACAGCATTTGACGACAGCACCCCTGGGTATACTCCTTCCAGCATTAACACTTCGGCAGGGCAGTCAACAACAAATTCGTCAGTTGGCAGAGGTAGCCGGCTTAACCCATCGGCATGTGCAATTTGTGAACCCGGCCTATACCTCAGGTCGTAACTGCACCCCGACAACAGCAAGGCCCACCTTAGCACTCTCGGAGAACAGGATTCGGGAACTGGCTTGTCTGCTGCGAGCAAGCCGAGCAGCGGTTTGTGATCTGTGACGGCTTCGAATTGCCGGCCCCATAAGTACTGCCTGAACTTTGTAACGCCAAATACAAGGCTCAATGCCTCCTTATCTAATTGGCTCTAGTTTTTCTCCGCGGTTGCCAGGCTGCGGGAGGCAAAACCAATGGGGCGCTCTTCTCCAGATGACTCTCGTTGCGCCAGTACTGCTCCAATCCCGAAGGGAGATGCATCAGTGACAAGCACAGTTGGCTTTCCTGGGTCAAAGTGGGCCAATATAGCAGCAGAGGCCAATAGCTCCTTGCTTCTCCGAAACGCCTGCTTTTCATCAGTTTCCCAGCGCCATGGTGTTCCCGACGCCAACAAACTATTGAGCGGCTTTATATACGGCAGAAAGGTTCGGCAAAAACCTTCTGTAAAAATTAACCAACCCGAGGTAACTCTGAAGTTCCTTGACCGCTCGGGGTGCGGAGGCTTCCAGCACTGCTTCAGTCTTAGCCGGGTTTGGACGCAGCCCAGCCGCACTATTGATATGGCCCAAGTACTGGACTTCTGGTTTCATGAATTCGCATTTGGATAACTTCAGTCGCAGTCCCGCGGTCTTCAGGCGACGCAACACTCGGCCCAAATTTTCCCAATGCTCTTTGTCACTGGTTCCTGTGACCAGAATATCATCAAAGTACACTACGACATGGTCAAGGTCGTGCAACAGATTTTCCATCTCTCGCTGAAATATAGCCGGAGCTGATGAAACCCCGAACGGCAGCCTTGTGAATTGGTATAACCCCTTGGGAGTGTTAATGGTGACTAGCTCTTGGCACTCCTTATCGAGTGGAACCTGCTGGTAGGCATCTTGCAAGTCAAGCTTTGTGAACTTCTTGCCCCCTGTAAGTCGCGCAAAAAGTTCCTCAATCCTAGGAATAGGGTAGGACTCGACGACTGTCACCGCGTTTATGGTAGTCTTAAAATTGCCGCAGACCCAAACCCGGCCGTCGCACTTCAATACAGGAACGATGGGCGCGACCCACTGGGAAGTTTTCACCGGTTTGATAACGCCTCCCCGTTCCATCCTCTGTAGTTCTTCAAAAACCCTATCGCGCAAAGCAAATGGTATCGGACGTGCCTTGACAAAACGTGGCTTCGCCCCCTTTTGTACGGATATAGACGCTGTAACGCCGTGAAACGTGCCAAGCTGCTCCGAAAAAACTTCGTGATATCGGCTTACCAGGTCTTTCGTAGACTTCACGACGTTGACTCCCTCCGTCTGAGCGATGCCTAGCTTGAAAGCCTTCATCCAGCTTCGTCCAAACAGCGTAGGACACGCCCCTTTCACGACAAATAGTGGTAGCTGGCGCTCCTTGTCGCCAAGTTTGACCATTGCTTCCAGCTTTCCCTGGACGCGTTTCATGTCGCCGAAAAAACTTCTCAGCTGCACACTGGATGGCTCCAACGGCACCGACGGAAAAAGCTCGGCAAACTTGCCATCATCAATGGTCAATACACTAGTGCCGGTGTCCAACTCCATATCGAGCATTATGCCATTAACTTCAACCGCTATGCGCATTGGCTCCGAACTAGCCGTGTGAAGCGTCCACAAGTCGAAAACTTCGGGCTCTTCAGCAGAGACGGGCAGGTCGCCCAGGTTGTTCACGCGACTAGACTGGCTCCGGTCGAATTTTCTACTTCCCGGCTGAACTCTGCAAACTCTTGCAAGGTGCCCTTTTTGGCGGCAGTTGTGACAGATCGTGCTGCCGTGCTTACACCGACGCGCAGAATGACCTCCCCCGCAACGGAAACAACAGCTATCATTTTTCCCCGAGGTGACAACGTTCGCTTGCTCCGGAGCTTCGTGAGACAGTAGCTGTGCTTGCTGACAGCTCAATGTGCGTGAATCTTTACGCGCAGCCTCCATAGCTACGACGGTGTCCTTTGCAGTTTCGAAGGTTAAACACGTCGTTTCCAGCAGCCGTGTTTGCATGGTTACGTCATTGATTCCGCTGACTATCTGGTCGCGCAACATGCGCTCTCGAAATGTTGCGAAATTACAGTCTTCGGCTAATTTCTTCAACGAGGCAATGCAGTCACTTACGGTCTCCCCCTCTTTTCGATGTCTTGAGAAAAACTTGAAACTTGCCACTACTTCTGATACGCGAGGGGCGTAGTGCTTGCCAAGTGTGGAAAAAATTTCCGCCAGTCCTGCTTGGGCGGGCCTGCTTGGTGCTAGGAGGCCTCGTAGCAGAGAATAAGTCTCTGGACCGCAGCATGTCAAAAATACGGTTGTCTGCTTGTCGCTCCGGATGTCGTTCGCGATGAAGTACAGCTCGGCCCGCTCATGGTATTCCGCCCACTCCGATGTACTCGGGTCGAACGGATCCAGCTTCCCGACGACAGGCATGACGACGTGTCATTGTGCTGTGCTCGTCCGGTTCGTCAGTCGACCTCATCGCCACTTGTGATAACCGGATAGTCCTGAGCCATGCCGGTCGCTGGACCGAATCACACACACGTACGTTGGCGGGTTCCACACTGACTGGCTGGTCATGCGCGCCGTATTTATTTCCTTGCAACATCGATGCCCCCGGGCGCCGGAACGGCAAACTAATCTTATCACAACGACGTCCGACGAAAGGAGGTTATAACCTCCTTAGTCTGAAGACAGCGCGAGAGCCTATAAGCCTGGAGAAGTCCGGCCACACACCGGATTGAACTCTGCCATAAGCTGCTTCTCATCTAAGAATTGAGACCACTCCACTCTGTGAAGGCGGATGACGAGCAAATCTGACAGGCTCACTCCCGTCTGTGCGTTCACAACAAGCGCGCTGCTCCTCGGGCGTTCTCGCAGCGTTCTGCTGCCCCACAAACGACACCAGCTGGCACCAGACCATGCTACCGATGCGGCGCCTCAACTCGACGGAAGTGGCGTTGCCAATGTTACGCGTGCAGACGTTCCTCTCCTAGCGCCACGGTGAGGCATCCACAGAGAACTGAAGCGCGGCTAGAAATTAAGAAAACGAAGCGCACGGGGCCCTGTTACACTATCGCACTCTACTATTGAAGGCGAAGATCAAGCGACCTCCAAGCCTCCACTTCATGAATAAAATATACCCGACTTGCTATATTGATGGCTGTCCAGGCTGTGGTGCTATCCCCATAACTTTTCACGTTACTGTAGAGTGTTCAACCACTTCCTTCCCCTCCCTCCAATCATTCGGTCCACTCGTAACCCAGTGCAGTGGGAAGGCACCCTTCGCGACGGCGCCCCCGAGGTCTGCCGGGCCCTCATTCTCAGGGCCCAAGCTGTCGCAGAGGTTACCATAGGAGTTCTAGAATAGGTACCTTCTTCGTTTTCTTTGAATTTTGATAATAAAGTATTTTTATCATCCAATTTTATCTGAGTTCTAGTGAAAAGGAAGCTTCGACATGGTCGTATCACTCTGATTATCAAAAGACAGTGGTATGATAATATAAAGTGCCCCTGCAGGTACGTATGCGAAGAAGCGACCTCGCAAAATGTTTGCGTTCTGCAAAAATGCTGTACAGTTTCCAGAGCGCTGAGCAAACTCTGCAAGAGATCGGCTTAGTGCCGAGTCAAAGACGCCGACCCACTATGGCTGTAAACGTAAAATGTTCTCTGATGCAAACGTATGCGTTCCTTATGCAATAAATGCTGCCCCACGTGAATATGAGAAATAAAATGACAATGTGCGTACTTCGATGTTTTGATGTAGTGGTGTCTATATTTGGTAATAGGAAGAAAAAACAGCACAAAACCACACGATGACAGCGAAGAAGAATAACCACACAGGACAAGCTAAGTTGTTGACCGACATTAACCACCAGCTTCTTGGCCAATCCCGCTTAGTGGGTAAGGGCCACAAGACAGGAACAAGCAAGCACCGGTAAAATCATTTGGTGAAACGCACGTACAAGTTACAGATAAGCAAGAGTATTTGTCAACATATCTCCTGTAAGATTGTGCTTGGACTTTTTCGATGGTCTACATCTAATCATCTTGAGCACCGAATTTCTCGACGTACATGGGAATGGAAATATTATTTTCACACACTGCTGAAATTTGCACAGCCGCAGTTTATTCTTATCAATTAGCGCCTATATTACACGCATCACAAATATCACGTAGCCATCGCAGCGGTGATAGCACGGTCCTTTCTCATAATCCAAAACAATACTTCAGCACGAGCCCATTGTGTTTCGTATGCGCTGGTCCTCGTGGATTAGAATTAAATGACATGGCCGACTCTCTGGCGCGAGCGGCATTAAATTGACCAGTACTTTCGGTGCTTCCTGAAATGACCACAATAACTGCAATAAGGTACAGAAAATTTGCGCTTTGTGCATATGCCATGGAATCAATAACGCCATGGACAGAGTTCCATCATTTAAAATTTTCGTGGAAAATTCAATGGTGTCGCAATCGGAAGTCGCATTGACTAGATCACGTTGCCGTGTCCCCTCGTTAAAGTTTTATTCACACAGAGCTGGTCTTGTGGTTTCTCCTCTATGGTACTAACTTTTGTTTAGAAACCGAAACAATAGAACTATATTTATGATGTCACTGGTACAGATGCGTCGTTGCTCGTGTTTTCTGGAGGGCTGTGCATGCTGGATTTCGTGGCCTCGGAATAAATCACTTCGTTTCTTCTGTGCGTTGTTCTCGAGGCCGCTTCTCCTGTCTTCTCATTGTTACTGATGCTTACTGTCTTTGCCGCAATCGCTGCGAGGCGGCTGCACCAGTCCGTCGCCGTCGCACTTTCTTCCCGATCTTAGAGTGACTATACACAGAGCTGCTATCTTTTCTGTCGGACAAGCTGTTCTTTCTCGGTGAGGAGAAATTTCTGTGGCACTAAAGGCCCTGTGTTTCGTCGCGATGTTCTGTTGGAATGCCACTAATGTCTACTAGTTGTCAGAGTAAATACTCTAAACACACAAATAAAAACATTCCGCCATATCCACGAAGTGAATGATGATGAGTGGGCGAAGTTCCGGAGGTAAACCTGGTAAACCATGAATCCTCTGTACATTTTGCCCACTCGATTTTATTACATCGCTCTCCTAGCGTACGTCGCCGCACTAAATCGAACGATTGCCTTCAACCAATGACACGCGCCATATGTGACATCATTCCTATTTCATAAGACCTCGCGTCTTTCATCAACTACAAGTACCGCTTTCTAGTTTATAACATCTTGCATCTTTTCATCATCAGCTACAAGTACCACCATCTAGTAAACACTACAAGAACTAAACGAGAGGTGGCTACATACAGGAGACGGTACCGCCATCTAGTGAACACTGCAAGAACTAAACTAGAGGTGGCTACATGGATGGATGGATGCTATGAGCGTCCCCTTTATAACGGGGTGGTGACAAGTATGCCACAAGGCTCGACAAAAAAAAAACCTTTTTTCTTTTTTTTTATGTTGGCCTAATGCCTCTACTTCGATAAATTCTATCTTAATGGGAAAAAAGGTAAATTTTCAGCTTAAGTTCTCTGCCATTTACGGCACACTGTACATATTTTATTTTTCCAATATTTATTTTTGTCCTTTCTCTCTAATTTTCTGCCACCAATACTCTAACCGTCTCTTACTTATTTCAATCGCGGGTGTGTTCAGTTTTCCATTGTTGTCCCTAAAACCCAAGGCTTCCTGTAGGCTCGTGCCCAAACGTACACCTGGGTGGATATCTCCACATTCAATCAGAACAGGCTCCGCCGTTTCCTTATCTTTCCCGCAGCATGTGCATTGTTCTTTTTCTTTACTGAATCTTGCTTTATAACTACGCGTTCTAAGGCAACCCGATCTCGCTTCAAACAGTAAAGCGCTTCCCCTTGAATTATCGTAAAATGCCTCCCTCCTTATTTCATTTTTGCCCTTTCGGTAGTTACTCAAAGCCGGTTTTTTCTCCATAGCTGCCATCCAGTAAATCCTCTCCGCCTCCCTGACTTTTCCCTTAACGCTCTTTGTTGACATATGGCTTACAATACCAGCCGTATATTTACTAGTGAGTCTTCTAGTTCTTTTTCTCCACTGTGTGTCCACGCTCTTCCTATACAAATAACGGAACACCTTCTCTGCCCATCTACTCTCCTTCATATTTCTTAGCCTTTCTTCGAACCTTATTTTGCTCTGCGCTTCCCTCGCCTCAAAACCTGCCCACCCCATATCGCCCTTTACAGCCTCGTTTGTCGTCTTCCCGTGAGCACCCAACGCTAGGCGTCCCACAGTCCTTTGATTTACATCCATTCCCGATTGCACCTCGGCCCTCATGCACACCACTGAGTTCCCAAAAGTAAGCCCTGGAACCATTACACCCTTCCACAGACCTCGAAGCACCTCATACCTATTGTATCCCCACAACGCTCTGTGCTTCATTATTGCCGCATTCCTCTTTCCTTTTGCTGCCGAGGCTTTTTCCTGTACCTCCATGTATCTATCACTCTCATTTACCCATACTCCAAGGTACTTGTATTCACTTACCCTCGGTATTTCTTGGCCTTGTATGGACACCGTCTGATCACAGGGATCATTGAATACCATCAATCCACACTTCGTTACACTGAATCCTAGTCCAAGAGCTTCACCTTCCCTTCCGCATATATTCGCCAGCTGCTGTATATCATCTCGACTGTCCGAAAATAAGACGATATCGTCCGCATAAAATAAACCTGGAAGCTTCTGCTCAATCATCATGCCGCCCTGTTTGTGTGACAGATTAAAACCAATGTTGCTACCTTCTAGCGCTTTTTCCATACTCACCATGTACAGCATGAATAACAGCGGGGACAAAGGACATCCCTGTCTCAGACCCCTGCTAACCTCAACGTTCTCTTTGCTACGCATTCCTTCCCACTCTATGCAAACTGTATTTTCTCGGTATATCTCCCTCAAAAGCTGTATACAGTCGTCGCCCATGCCCATTCCTTTCAATATATCCCACAAAATTTCCTGATTAACGTTGTCGTATGCACCAGTGATGTCTAGAAAAGCCACGTACAAGGGCCTATTCTCTATTTTAGATATTTCTATACACTGAGTGAGAACAAACAGGTTATCGTCTAACCGCCTGTCGACTCGAAATCCGTTCTGAAGTTCTCCCAAAATATCGTTATGTTCGGCCCTGTTTCTATTTTCATTTTTACTGCTTGCATCGCCAACCTGTATAGTACCGATGTAATGGTTAGTGGTCTATACGAGCGAATCTTGTCCTTTTCTCCCTTGCCTTTATAGATTAAGTTCATTCTACTTTGTCGCCAACTGTCCGGTATTTGTCCGTACTTTAAGCTTTTTTCTACTGCTTTTAACAATGCTTCTTTAGTGTTATGTCCTAGTTCGTTAATGAGGCTAACAGGAATCCCATCTAAACCCGCGGCAGTGCGCTTTGGAATTTTTCCTTCGGCCTTTTTCCAGTTGAAATTATCAAGTACTAGCTCTTCCTCTGTTGCTTTCTCCGCCACACTTTTATTCACCGGGGAGATCCCCTGGACGCTCTTTTGAAACGAATCGGCTGTTACCTTTTGGATGTAACCTAGCGCTTCGTACCCTTCCAATTGATTTCCTCCTTCATCTAGAATATGTTGTTGCGTTGTGACAGACTTCCTACCTAGCGCCTTTATGTGGCTCCAAAAAATCCTAGGCGCGGCCTCCTTTTTTTCGTGTATCTCTGTCATCCAGCGTTCACTTTCACCTTTAATTTTTGCCTCTACCAATTTCTGTACAAGGGATTTTTTCTCTAAATATATTTCCCATATTTTTTGACTTCGTCCTGCGGCCGCTTCTCCTTTTTTGCCTTTCTATGCTCCCGTGATGCTTCGCGTCGCTTCTCGATCGCCTCCCGGATTTCCTTGTTCCACCAACTTTTTGGCTTCCTTTTTCCTTTCCAGCAAACAGTTTTCTTCTCTTTCCCTATCTCCTTCGTCATTAGATGTAACAGCTCACTATACTCCCAGTCCTTGCCTGGTATTTCGCCTACTTCTTCCTCGACTCTTGCGGCTATATTTATTATTTGTTTGTCATTTAAATACGAGCTGCCAGACTTTGATTCCATGCTCATATTTTCAGTTTCGTATCCCATTTGTAATGTTATTCCTTTATGATCACTACCCAAGCTGTTAATGCCTTCCTCGTCTATCCTCATTTCTGTCAGTTTGTGGTAAATTCCTTCAGTCATGAGACAATAATCAATACTTGATTGCTTGTTTCCGACTTCCCATGTGATCTGGCCGTCACATTTAGGCCCCGTGTTAACTATCTCCAGACTATGTTGCTCGCAAAGATCTAGTAATAACTTCCCATTGGTGTCTGAATATCCGTCAAGGTCATGTATGTGGGCATTCATGTCCCCTAGAAGGATGATTTCGGCCCCATTACCAAATTCCTTAATATCCGCACTCATGCAATCCACTATCTCCTGATTCTTTTCTCTGCAGTTATTCCCCGTCCACAAGTAGGCTACCCCTAGCCACGTTTCCTTTCCACCTACTGTGCCCAGAACCCAGAGGTGCTCTGAACACGTCTGTTTCACTCTAACCCATTTGGCTCCGCGGTGAATTAGCATTCCTACACCCCCACCTTTCCTTTCCGATATGGTCCTGTTACACCCTTCCCAAGCATAATTTTTAATATGTGGTGGCTCTTCCAAGTCTCTAAGGTGTGTTTCTGTAACCGCATACACGCCTATCTGTTCTTTGTTTAACTGCTCCTCAATCTCTAACCATTTTGCCTTCTTTCTGCCACCCTGCATGTTTATGTAACTAATTGCAACACGCGCCTTTTTCCTTTTTCTTTTACCTTTTTTCTGGTTTTTCGCAATTCTACCTGTCAAAGCGTCCTCCTGGTTGTTTTCTCTGTTACGAGCTACCCCGGACTCCGAAGGGCCCGTGAGCCCCCCAAAAAAGCTACTGCGCGTCCTGCCAGTCGCCAGCCCACCTCGTGTCCAAGCCTCTTATCGAAATGAATCTTGTCTCTTTGGAATCCACCCCACCTGTGCACTTCCCTGTTTAAATCCACTACCTCGAAACCCTTCTCTCGACTAATTCGCCATATCTCTTTGTTTGCGTCGACAACCGCTCTTTGCAGGTTGACGTTGCGTACTGGTACTTCCCGTACTGTGCATACTACAATTTGCACCTGGGGGGACACGGTGCGCATGTCATCCACCCCTTTCGCCAAGGTCGTCGCTAGTCCTGACGATTCTTTTTTCAGGACGTCATTTAACCCTCCCGCAATTACAACGAGGTTACGATTGTTAGCTTTAGCTGCGAGTTGTTCACCCGCTTGACTCATTACTGTCCCCAGCGTTTGTCCTGGGAACGTCCCTATCGCAACTCTCTTGTCGCCTTTCACCCTTTCTTTGATTGCCGCTGCGCATCGGACTAAATTTGAGTCACCGGCGATGATGACCTGTTCAGACATTCCTTCTGAAACCTGCACCTGGCTGCTGACTAGGTGACTAGCGTGAGTCACGGCTGCTGGTTTGCTCCCTCCCTCCCTCAAAACTACTTCCCGGTAGCTGGGCCCTGTGGCCAATGTATCTGCCTTTGTCATGCCTGTTTCCTTCATCTCTCCCGCACGGGGGGTCGTCGCCATAATGCTTCCGCCGTCACCTGCGTCTTCGTTCCCCTTCACGACCTTCGATAGGCCCTTCTCGGCTGCCCGGAGCCTTTCCTCCATGGCTGACGTTTTCTCTCGCTCCTTCGCCAATGCATTCTCCAGCTCTGCGATTTTCTCCATGAGCCCACTCTGGACCGCCATCATATTTTTCATTTTCTCCTCGAACTCGCACTGTCTACACTTGGCGTCATCTTCTGCTTTCTCCTCCGCACTAATTTCCACCTTCCACCCTACCCCGCACTCTGAACACTTTACGGTCTTTTTGACCATGGCTAGCTCAGTTTACCGATGCCCACGTGTTAGAAAACTGTACTAAAATACACTGGTCTAAGCCAAAAAGAACCACAATAATAAAAAATACGCTACACTTCACAGCACCTGCGCATGCACGTGGTCGGTCTACGCGCAGGCCTCAGCCACGTGGTGGCTGGAGAAAAAAAGACACAGTACAAAATACTAAAAAAAACGTACACCGTACTAGACCTAATCAAGCTTTACGCTAGCGCCTTACGTTCTCATAACGCTACATACAGAGGCAAGCTGAAAACATGCAAAAACACTTATCTGTAGCTGTCATTCCGGAGCTCTCCAAAAACACGTCCGACCTCTACCACCACTTCCGCGCCACCCATACATACAGGGGATGGTACCGCCATCTAGTGAACACTGCAAGAACTAAACTAGAGGTGGCTACATACAGGCTACAGGGGACGCACAGCCAACGCCCTAAGGAGCTTCGCCCCTAAAAGTCTTCTTGTTATCCCGTTCTCTAAGCTGGGGCTGAACTTGTCAAGCGACAATACTTACCTTTAGTGCTTCGGCTTTGGACTTCAGCCACAAGAACGCTTTTGATGCCGTTTATGCTTACCTCCACGAAACAAAACGAATGAGACTCTAACTGGATATTTGTGTCTTATTATTGCAGCAAAAGTTCCACATAAAAATTCATCTCTTTTATTATTTGTAGTAATAGTAGTATTAATTGTAGTATCAATATTTTATTAACGTTCATTTGTAGTCAAGATAACGACTAAACTGCCATCTCTGATCAGGAGAAAAACAATTCTTGCCCTCTTTTTTCGTTGCACGTACGTTATTTTTCTCATGAATATTCAGCACTGAAAATGTCTAACTCATGCAATCCATTCTTGGCTGATACGCCTGAGTGTGAATGAGCCACATATATCAGGCATCATCACTATCATCATCATCACCTTCCTTTATCAAGGTCCTGAATCCATGGCTCGCGCATAAAGAAGAGGAAGACGAGACAGTCGACCGCTTCAGACCAGTGAGGTTGCGCCAGGACTCCAACGAACGACGAATCAGCCAACCAGTGCGACGTCAGCCTTATCACCAGAAACAAGAACACTATGAAGAAGCAGGAGGGGTCCGTGAGCACAAGGGTACGCGACACATTTTCTCTCTTCATCGATTTCTCTCTTGACGCTTCTTTCTGGAAAGGGAGGGCCATCTACAGGCAATCATCAACTTTATGCCGAGACGACGGGCTAACAGCATACGGTTTGCAACGCTACGTGTAACGGTTGTCAAGTGGTCATGGTGCTGGAATGCTGACCTGAAAGTCGCGCAATCGGATCCCGGCCGCGGCGACTGCTCTTTAAATGAAGAGGGAAATGTTTGAAGCCGGTGTACTTAATTCAGATGCCCGTTAAAGAACACCAGCTGGTGGCCATTTCCGGGGCCCTCCCCTGCGAGTTCCTTCATTGTCGCATTGTGGTATTAGGACGTTAAAACACCAGCAGTTATCGTGGATGCAATGCTGTGCGCAGGACGAGGACACCCGGTGCGGCTGGTTCGGCTTCTCGCCGTCGGTGGCGCAGTGTTTCGCGAGGCCCGAGTGGGTGCTGGTGTGCTTCAGCATGGCTGCCTTCGTTCAGGGCATGGTTATCAGCGGCTTCATCAACGTCTCGCTGCCCACGCTCGAGCGCCGCTTCCACCTGCGCAGCGTCGAGACGGGACTCATCGTGGCCATGTACAACGTCGGCTCGCTGCTGCTCATGGTGCCAGTCACCTTCTTCGGCAGCGAGATGAACAAGCCAAGGATCATGGCCGTCGGAGTCGCGTGCATGGGCATCGGCTCCTTCATCTACAGCCTGCCCCACTTTGTGGCACCGCAGTACAAGTGAGATATACACGGTATCCAATAACCGGATGCACCAGCTACTCGATCAGCAGTGAAGCGATAAAGCGTCCGCTTCCTGTGCGGAATGCGATGCTTTTCAATACTACGGTCAACTCGTATATTAGTAAAACACTAAATGTCAGCGTTTCGTCGTGGACGGACACTCGCCTCGAAAGACGGTGGCATGAAAACGCAGTGCCCATTACGCATTAATGGAAGGTTAATATTTCTCTTTTTCCACTCCGATACCTCTCTGCACCCAACGGGTGTCTGAATTGCCTCCAAGATCAGAGGCATCATGAGCTTTCCACACATCCGCAGGTTTTGTAGTGCCTCCGTGATCGGTTCACCACCTATGATTAAGCGACGATGCCGCGTGATGACGTCATCGCGTGATGCTAAATTACATGACGTCATAGCTATGTCGCTATACCGTCATGACGACGCCATAAATTTGGGTGATAAGCGATGTCATGAGGATATCTTATGGCTACTTCATTCCGTGATTACCTTTCGGCGGCACTCTTGTTGACGCCGCAGACGCGGGACGCCAGTGATCAACATTCGCGTTTGATGGGACACGCAAGGCTTTCACTTTAGATGTCTTACAGAGTCATTTTCACACATTTCGCACACTTTTAAGGCTTTCGCCTTGAAGACGTGTGAAAGTATCTGAGTGCGCGTTGTTCACCAGAACCTCAATTAGTGAAGTAGTGGGGTAACTGTGAGAGCCACAGTTTCCGCCACAGGTTACATACCATGGTAGTATAGGTGTACCTTCTCATTTGCGGTCTGGCACGCAGCAAAGCTAAGTTAAATACACAAACATTCACAATTTAAACTTATCATATATTATCTACTTTCTGCGTAAACACGTTTCCATTTACCAATACGTGATACAGTAACCAAACTTTGTCACTGAAATATGATATCTGTATTCGTGTGAAATGCCGTGTTATTCGTCAATACCCAACTGAACAGGAACAGCTTTTATGGCTGTCAGACTGTTGCAGCGAGCAGCTACGATTCCTAACCGAAGTTTCCTACAAACTTAGAAGCAGCATCGCCACGCGTGTGTGTGTTTTTTTTTTCTCTTTTGTTTGATTCAGTTTTCCCCCGCAAAGCCTCGTTCAGGAATGCTCGGCGCAAACTGCGCCTCAATGTTCGAGAAGGTTCGTGATCATCCTAGATTATTCGGTTAAGATTGCGCGCAAGACGCGAACACTCGAGATTATTGCAGAGCTTGCGCGAGGACCAGTGATAAGGCTGGAATGTTCAACAGTACATGTATTAATGCCGATGCCCCGCCGCGGTGGTCTAGTGGTTAGGGTACTCGGCTGCTGACTCGCAGGTCGCGGGATCGAATCCCGGCTGCGGCGGCTGCATTTCCGATGGAGACGGAGATTATGTAGGCCCGGTTGCTCAGATTTGGGTGCACGTTAAAGAACCCTAGGTGGTCGAAATTTACGGAGCCCTCCACTACGGCGTCCCTCATAATCATATGGTGGTTTTGAGACGTTGAAGCCCACATATCATCATCGTAAATGCCGACGCGCTTCGTCACTTGTTCGACGGCAGTTGATCGACGGCCATCGCTCTGTTCGCCGCTATCTTCCTGTGTGTATCACTGTAATCTGACGTTTAGCGGCCACAAACTCGGCCTAATAAAAGGTTTCATTTTCACTAAGTTGTCACGATCCCGTGACAATATTCAAAGAATCTATATAGATCTAGCTATAACGGTTAGAATGATCTCAGAGCTTCCGTGGGTGCCCTATTTTATATTCCTCGGCTTAGCTCTAGCCTCAAGCTTACAATAATGTACACTGATAATGACGATTGCTTGATTCTTCAGTCAGCATACGTTTCGGAATGTGAACTAAGCTAGACATTTTTTTTTAGTCGGGAAATCTTCATTACGCATGTGTGATGAAAAACGTGTTCAATGATTCAGTGTACTTCGTACTCTACTATTGGTGAGCAAGAAAGCCGTCCCAAGAACAAAAACGATTGATGCGTATGTAAAAGGTATTGAATTGTACTGTATGTCACCATCTCCCTATACTTTTTCAGGGGCATGCGAGATTCAGGGGCATGCGAGGTGTTATTAGTACTTGTTTTGGATCAATGTTAAACATCGACCTTTATCACGGCAGTTAATTCGGTGCGAATTCCATCATTGCAATGTACAAAGAGTGGTATCCATAAAAGCAATTGCTTGCCTAGTTTATAATGTACCTGAACATTATCTGCAATTGTAATGATATTTCGGCCTTCCTCGTCATTCGGTATGCGGTCATAAATATTTTGCTTTGGCCACAGTTATAAGAAAGCGCACTGATGTTTACAATTCACGGTTACTAAAATCTTCAACAAGACTAACTAAAAATTCATAACGTATAAGGTTATTAATGCATCGACACGGCAGTGACTTATGTAGCAGAAGTGGTATTCTTATTCTAGACTACGTCGTTTGGTTCATCCCACTTGGTGAGCGACCGTGTTTCAATTGATCTGATGAAACGCATCTAATGCACGTCAAGCCTTCGAGAACTGTGTGATAGTCACCGTCGCGATAGCAAACAGCAACATTGCTACTCACAATCATGTAATCAACCCTTAATGTGCCGTAGAAGCCCCGGCAATTCCAACTGTTTTCGCTGCGTCATTGTGTTCACCCAGGTTTAGCCGACCGCTGAAGGACCTATGCCCGTACGCCAGTGGACCAGCGTACGAATCCAGCGGCTCTCTTCGAAACTACCGATTCATCTTCATGCTCGCCAACCTCGTGCACGGCTGCTCCACGGTGCCTTTCTACACGCTCTCGGTGGCCTACATGGACGACAATCTGTCCGCCCAGAAGTCCAGCTGGTACATTGGTACGTTTGCTCGAGCCAAGTGTCATCTGCTGATTATGACCTCCGCGTAGTCAATGAAGGTTACAGTAGTCAACTACGATTGATGATTGATATGTGGGGTTTAACGTCCCAAAACCACCATATGATTATGAGAGACGCCGTAGTGCAGGGCTCCGGAAATTTCGACCTCCTGGGGTTCTTTGACGTCCACCCAAATCTGAGCACACGAGCCTACAACATTTCCGCCTCCATTGGAAATGCAGCCGCCGCAGCCGGGATACAGTAGTCAACTACGAATTAGTCCTTTAGGGAGTCAACTACGAATCAGTCCTTTAGAGTCGGAAGACTAAAAAATTTGGGGGCCCTAAAGCTTCGCCTTTACGAGTTGAACACTATAGCGACACCCTGTTCCTAATGCGTACTTCAAACACTTGGGGCATGAAATCTTTTCTAACTTGCTATGCACCCACTACGTGGCCTTAACACCATGGACGCAGTAGCGTGTGTGCCTTCTGTGGTGGGTGACCGGCTTTGAACCAGCAAGCCATTATGATAATCACGCGTTCTGACGTCCACTGGCGATGGATGCTTGTACCACGCAATAATGCTGCCATATTTCATGTTGCATTGGGAAGTATGTATACAGGATGCGTGTGTTTGTGAAGCATGAAAGCTACTTTTAGTGCTTCTCCATGCAGAGGAAGTTCTTTCCACTGTATTCACAAGCAGTCTCGTGGCTGTATGGTATAGACCGCCCGCTGGCCACCCAAACGACGTGGACTGGATCTCCACTCGAACCCTAACGACCCTGGTTTGGTCCCCACTCTGACCCAGGATTTTTTATTATGTATTTTGTTTGCATCGTCCTCGATTTCTCGGTCACGCATGAGACAATTTTTCCCCAACAACCAACGACGCCGACAGTGACGCCGGAATTTCTGCGAAACAAGCTATCACGTAAAGATATTTTGGTTGCATTGATGCCAAGAAAAATTCTGATAGAGGAAGCGAACTTGGATATATTACATAACTGAGAACCTGGCATCTGCATCGTTAAAACGGTTCACAGCCTCTGTAACTCGTGCTCAGGCATTTCGAGCATGAATCTGTTACCGTGCCTCAGAGAAGTCCAGAACTCGGTGTTCTTACGGAGTAGGTCATGGTTAAACAGGATGCATATAACTTCTAGAGTGCTGCGACTTGGTGGTTGCCGTAGCGGTTTCACACGCGGGTCTGCAGGGTTGCTTGATTATTCAGCGTGGTGCCACAGCTTAGCTGAACAAGTACACAGCCAGTGTCACATATTGCTCCGTGGTTCCTATATACCAGATACATTCGCGTAATGGTCACACCTATGTGATAATGACATCCAGAACTTTGTCATCTATTCCCCCAAAATCAAATTCAAAGCTCACCCATGTATTAGCCAAAGTCTTATTTCTTGTCACAGGTGTGTTATCGGTTGTTGTGGTGCCAAGTTTCCGACAATCTTTTTAGGGGCAAAATAAGGCAACTGGGTCGGGCTTTTGGCCCCTCCACGTAGCAAAAGCGCAGCCTCTGGGAATCAGCTAAAGTCTACGAGTCGCTGCCATGCACGAAGCAAAACCGACTGTATGGCGGATGAGGGTATCCCTCGTATAAATCGGCCTCTAAATGTTTGAAGCGTGGGTTGACTTCATAGACGGTGAGTCTCTATCATATTCTATATAGATTAGAGCATGAGTTCATCTCGGACAGAGGCGAGTTTAGGGACTCGGTGAGCAAAGAAGAGGGTGCTAGTGAGGAATGACGTTCTTGCAACCGCGTGACAGCAACTGGTTTTCGATTCGCCCAGTGTGAACGAGTACTGCAGCTCAGTGAAGGCAAGTAGTGCTGAAAATTCGAGCGAATAGAAGAAGCATCTTCGTAGGAAGAGCGACACATGGACAGTAAGAAAGAACGACACGGGTCAAGCGCTTGCGTCCTGTCTTTTTTGCTGTCATCCCACCGTGATGGTCTAGTGGCTATGGCCCTCGACAGCTAATCCGAAAATAGCGGAATCAAATTCTGGCGGCAGCAGCCGCATTTTCGATGGAAGCGAAAGTGTTTTGTTGCGGCCCGTGTACTTAGATTTAGGTGCACTAACGGTGGTTGAAACTCGCAGAGCCCTCCATTACGGCGTCTCCCATAATTGTATCGCCGTTTTGGGACGTTAAACTCCAGATATTCGTATTATTAATTTTTTGCTCTCCGTGCGTAGTTTAGCGCTTCCCTACGAAGATGAATATGTACCAACTATACCGATCTACTCGGTTACTGAATAAAAGAGGTTTTGTCATTTCATCCGTGTTGAAGGCCACATCGGTGATTTTCAACAGAAACCTTGAAAAAAGGAGAGAGAGAATTACAGCCAATACACGAGTGTATAGGGTGTATGAATTTTCTCCGTGCGTCGAATTGAATTTAGTGCACACAGAAGTTGCGGAAAACTGCGTCTGACTATGTCATGTCATTTTCTTCGACCGCAGGCATGTACTACACCGCGGCCATCATGGGGCCAGCGATCGGCTTCATTCTGGGTGGAACGTTCCTGAAGACGTACACTGACCTCAATGTGGACGCCGCGAGGTGAATTTCGGGATCGCAATGCGATTGTTGTTATCCGTGGTGGAGCAGCGGTCTTGGTGTTCAGCCGCCGACTCGAAGGTGACGGGTTCGATCCCTACCGTGGCGATCACATTTCGATGGAGGCGAAAACCGTAGATATTGTGGTTAGAAGAGGGAAAAAAGAAAAAAGTGAGCCCCGTAAATGTCTGCATCAGTGTGGGACACTTCAACAGTAGGTCACAGGGGATGGGGTGAGGAGAGATTAAAAAGATAGTATTAAAGGTATATATATATATATATATATATATATATATATATATATATATATATATATATATATATATATATATATATATATTGTTACGTTTGAAAGAGACTGGTAGACGTTAAAAGGGGCCGTTTATTAGGTCGTGAGGAGCAGCTCAGAAGCGGCCGACTTGTTAAATACCCTCCTGATCCTCTTCTTCCTCTCTCGCTCTGGGTGACAAGTGCGTTCACCGTATACGCTTCTTCGTCTTCGTGCATGTACGCAACATTCCTCTCCGCTCAGACGAAGGCCGCCGGATGAGTCAGTCGAGTTGTCGGGGCGTGTACAGTTTCAGGCGGGCAACATGAACCACTTGAGTTTTGGCAGCTCGTCGACCACTCGCCGTGAGACGAGCTATTACATAGTTGACCTCTGTAAGTCTGTCGACAATGACAAAAGGCCCATCGTAAGTGGCCAAAAACTTTTGACATAACTCGCGCTTGCGCATCGGAGTCCACAACCATACCAGATCACCACGGCGATAAATCACAGGTCGATGGTGAATGTCATAGCGTGCCTTCGCTTTGTCTTGCGATGCCAGTGTGCGTAGTAGAGCTATGCGACGTGCCTCTTCGGCGAGGCAGAGAGTCTCGGCGACAGTGACGTTGTCGTGGTCACAGAAAGGCAATATTGTGTCGATTGTGTGCCGGGGCGAACGTGCATAAAGCAAAAAGAAAGGGCTATAGCCTGCAATCTCATGCTTCGCAGTGCTGAACGCGTAAGTAATAAATGGGAGTACGTCATCCCAGTTATTGTGGTCACATGAGACATACATAGACAACATGTTGATAATGGTGCGAATGGTACGCTCCGTCAGCCTATTAGTTTGGGGGTGGTATGGTGTCGAGTGACGCAGGCGGGACTCACATAAACGGAGTAGCTCCTCCACGACATCCGCTGTGAATTGTTGTCCACGATCACTGATAATCAGGCGAGGTGGGTCATGTCAGAGGATGACGTACTGTAACAAAAAACGACGAGACTTCACTTGCAGTTGCGGAGGGGACGGCCGCCGTCTCGCAGTAGCGTGTGTGGTAGTCGACGCAAACAATTATCCATCGGTTGCCCTTAGCCGATTTTGGGAAGGGGCCCAGAAAGTCAATGCCCGTTTGTTCGAAAGGTGCGCTTGGAGTAGGCATCGGCTGTAGAAGAACAGCTGGACCAGTTGATGGACGTTTGTGACGCTGACATTGCATGCAGCTTGCCACATAACTCTCAACAGACTTCTGCATACCAGGCCAATAAAAGCGCTCTTTAGTCCGGTAAAGCGTCCACGCCAAACCTAAATGTCCAGATGTAGGGTCGTCGTGCATGACACTCATAATAACGGTTCGCAGGCTCTCCGGGACCACTAGACGAAAACGCGCGCCACTGCTGGAGAGGTTCCTTTTGAACAACAGTCCATCACGCATACTGAAACGGCGTGCACTAGTGGAAGCGGATGCAGCGGCGAATAGTGGTGCTAGTTCCTTCCGCTGTTCTGCTTTGAAACTGGGATAGTCCGGAAACGTATAGGCGACACGGACGCTACAAGCTGGTCAAGGTCATCGGATTCACAGTCTGCTGTGCTAAGTGGCATACGTGAAAGAAAGTCCGCGTCAGCATGTCGACGACCACTCTTGTAAGCGACGGTAAAACTGTATTCTTGTAGCCGGAGCGCCCAGCGCGCAAGGCAGCCACAAGGGTCACGAAGGTTGACAAGCCAACACAACGAGTGGTGGTCGGTTACGACTGTGAATGGGCGTCCGTACAGGTAAGACCTAAACCGCTGAATTGCAAATAATACCGCCAGGCATTCTTGTTCCGTAACAGTGTAGTTTTGTTCCGGCCTACTTAGGGAGCGACTTGCGTATGCGATGACGTGTTCGCGATCGCCGTAACGTTGCACTAGGACGGCAATACCTATGCCGCTAGCATCCATATGAAGCTCTGTCGGAGCAGAAGGACTGGAGTGCTGAAGGACGGGTCGTGACGTCAGCAAAAACTTCAATTGACGGAATGAAGAATCGCACTCCGGAGTCCACTCAAAGGAATTGTCTTTTCGTAAGAGGCATGTGAGAGGATACGCAACGTTGGAAAACTTCGGAATAAAGCGGCGGAAGTACGAACAAAGCCCCACGAAACTACGAAGCTCCTTGACGGAACGCGGCGCATTGAACGCCTCAACTGCTGCTGTCTTCTGAGGGTCAGGGCGGATGCCATCCTTGTCAACGAGATGCCCGAGCGCAAAGGTCTGGCGGTCTCCGAAGTGGCATTTCTTCGAGTTTAAAATTAGGCCAGCGTTTCGGATGCAGTTCAAAGCAGTATCCAGACGAGAGTTGTGTTGACTGAACGTGCGGCCAAAGATGACGACATCGTCGAGGTAGCTCATGCAGATGTTCCACTTCAAGCCACGCAGAATGGTGTCCATAAACCTCTCGAACGTTGGCGGTGCATTGCACAGTCCAAATGGCATCACGTCGAATTCAAAGAGCCCATCAGGGGTTACAGAGGCAGTCTTTTCCTTGTCCTCTGGGTGCATCGTAATTTGCCAATAACCAAATCGCAAGTCTACGGAGGAAAATTAAGAGGCCGAATGTAAGGAGTCTATTGCGTCCTCTATACGGGGCAGCGGGTACACGTCCTTTTTAGTCACGGCATTCAGTCGGTGATAGTGGACGCAAAATCTCCAAGATCCATCTTTCTTCTTAACAAGGATTACCGATGCTTCCCACGGACTGGCTGACTCTTGTACCACTCCCTTTTGCATAATTTCCTGCACTTGGTCGTTGATAATTTGTCTTTCTGACGGGGAAACACGATATGTTTTTGGCGAATCGGACTTGCCGCGCCAGTGTTGATGGTATGGCGCGTTCGAGACAGGGGGACAAGGATTACTTTGCCCTTCTCCGCAAAGTCAAATACCGAAACGTGCTTCAACAGCACATTCATTAAATTTCGGTGCTCGCTTGAGCTAAGTGACTTATTTGTCGTTGCCATAAGCGCCCCGTCCAAATTGTGACAACCAGTTTCGTCACGTTCTTCTGGCACGTCTGTGAGCTCGACCACTGATAAGGTTGCGTGTTCTTTGCTGATCGAAGCTAATTTCAAACTATTGTATAGTGTCACAGGCTCAGAGGAACAGTTTACAGTCCATAGGCCAGTTCGTCCGCCGTCAATCGACACCACACAATGGGGAACCAACACATTCTTCTTCACGCAGTTTATGTGCATTGGTTCTACGCTCGCATCGAAGCTGTCAGAATCCGCGCCACAACAAACAACAGGAACACGTACGGTGAACAACGCAGGTACGAACGTATCGCCACAGAAACACAGCGTAGTTTGGTCATTCGCTGGAGTTTCCAGAAGTTCTGAAGGCATCTGGTTACTCACAAAGACTTTCTCCGTGCGACAGTCTACAGTGGCACCACATTCTCGCAAGAAGTTCATGCCGAGAATGACATCATGTGTCGACCGAGGAATAATCGCAAACTCTGTCGTTATCATAAGGCCTCCCAAAAATACCGCAGCACTACACATACCAATAAGGCGCAATGGCTTTCTACTCACTCCACAGAACTTCGAAGTTTCATCCCAGGTAAAAAAACTTTCCGTCCTAACCTGTCCTTAAAGGAAGCACTCATCACGGAAATCGTTGCACCTGTGTCTACCAAGGCCATCACAGGCACATGATCCACCAAAACACGCACTTTGTTTTTAAACATACACACAGGAGATATTTCTCTCAGTAGCACGTTTCCAGCGACCTCACCCCCACTGGCCGCGCTGGCTAGTTTTCCGGTTGCGAAGAGGGCGCTTTGCGACGCAGCGGTGAAGGAGAACGATGAGCACGAGGTCGCGGTGGGGGCGTTAAACTCCTGTGAGATGCCGGGGAGTGGTTGCGGAAATTGCTGGGCCAATAGTTGTCATAAGGTGGTATGTGGGCCGGCCGCCAGACACCATGAGGCTGTTCGAAGGGTCGTGGGAAGTCGGATGGTTGGTGATACCGAGGAGTCACCCGACGGTTACAAAATCGCGATATGTGGCCTGGCACACCGCAGGATTAGCACACCGGCCGAGGTCGAAACGTCGGTCGCTCGTCGATGAATAGAGCGTCATCATTTGCTCTTGTGTGACGGATGTACTGGTCGGGTGCGTCGTACCGAGACATCGGGTGTCGAGGAGGCATGCGCTGAGAGCGTCGGTCATACCGCGAGGCGGGAAATCTGGTTGTCATCCTTGACTGTGGAGCTGGGCTGTACTCCACAGTTGCCACGCTCATCGTTGGTTGCCATGGGGTCAAAGGAGGCACATCCATAGCCTCACGTGGCAGACACAACTCGCGATGGTCAGCTGTCGAACACGACATTTCTCGGTGGGACAGTTTCTCACGAACAATCTGTCGAATGGTAGAAAAAAGGTCGAGGCCAGGATTCGTGTCCACACTGGCAACAGTTGTAACGTTAGCCAGCCGACCAAACTTAGACGCAATTCGACGCATCTTGAGCGTTTCAAACGTTCGGCAATGGTTGAATGACGTCGGACACAGAACTGAGGCTTTCTTTTCCAATTAGAAAATTATACACGTCCTCAGCAATCCCTTTGAGCAGATGCCCAACTTTGTCCTCTTCCGACATGGTAGCACAGACCACCTTGCACAGCCTTACCACTTCTTCTATGTAAGTGGTGCATGTCTCACCTGGTAGCTGTGCCCGTTGCGACAGTCTTTGCTCAGCCCGCTTCTTTCTAGCAACCGAGTCGCCGAAACATGCCCTGAGCTCCTCAACAAAAAATTACGGCATATTCACGGGGTGAATGATGATGAATGGGCGAAGCTCCGCAGGGATTCATCGGTAAACTGTGAATCTTCCGTGTAATTCGCCCAGTCGATCATCATGTAAAGACGTGAGAAACGCTGTGTTTGTATATACACAAATCAACTTTTATTTGTTCTTAGACGATGGATGGCTTGTGATGTCCCTTGCCTCGCGCGCTCGCACATCGGGATTCTGTCTGCGAGCGCGCGCTGCTGCCGCCTTGCGCTCTCTCCGCTGTGCAGCCTTATCCATCCGGCGACTCCGAGCGCGCGCCAACAGCGAACGGATTTTATTACAACGCTCCCCCTAGCGTACGTCGCCGCACTAAATCGAACAATTGCTTTCAACCAATGACACGCGCCATATGTGACATCATTCCTATTTTATAAGATCTCGCGTCTTTCATCAACTACAAGTACCGCTTTCTAGTTTATAACATCTTGCATCTTTTCATCATCAGCTACAAGTACCACCATCTAGTAAACACTACAAGAACTAAACGAGAGGTGGCTACATACAGGAGACGGTACCGCCATCTAGTGAACACTGCAAGAACTAAACTAGAGGTGTCTACATACAGGGGACGGTACCGCCATCTAGTGAACACTGCAAGAACTAAACTAGAGGTGGCTACATACAGGCTACAGGGGACGCACAGCCCACGCCCTAAGGAGCTTCGCCCCTAAAAGATCCCACGTCGTGAGTGCGTAGTCGTGGTTCTCGTACCATACCAGTGCGGTGTCGGTCAGGGAGAACACTACGTTGGCTAGCATAGCAGCTGCATCCCAACCGTTGGACTTGCCCATACGTTTGTACTTGGTGAGCCAGGCGTCGACCTCTTCGACTTTTCCTCCGAAGGGCGGTGGAACTCGGTAGTACGGAAGCGGGCCAGATGGTGCCGTCCTGGAAACGCCTGCTTCTTCGGGCATGTCGAAGTCACTCACGGCAGATGGTGGGAGACCGGCAAGTCGACGGCTTCGTCGAAGCTGTGGCAGTGATCGTTCCGTAGTTGAAGCGCTTACCCAGCTCCTCTACCACTCTGTTACGTTTGAAGGAGACTGGTAGACGTTAAAAGGGGCCGTTTATTAGATCGTGAGGGGCAGCTCAGAAGCGGCCGACTGGTTAAAGATCCTCCTAATCTTATTCTTCCTCTCTCGCTGTGGGCGACAAGTGCGTTCACCGTATACGCTTCTTTGTCTTTGTGCATGTACGCAACAATATATATATATATAGAGAGAGAGAGATGCGCAAGGACAGCGAGCGACGACATAAGAGAGATAGGAAAGATAGAAATACGGTCACAAAAGTCCGAGGACGGGGCACCACTTGCGAGAGCTCTTGTCGGCGACAGGAGATGGCGTACGGCCAACCCAGTCGGCCAGAGCCGCGCTGTCGTCGGAGATCGCGAGGGCACAACCGGTCGCCACGGAATCCAGCAAGCGAGACCAAAACGGTAGATGCCCGTCTACTTTATGGTGGAAGTGAACGTTAAGGAACACCAGGTGGTCGAAATTTCCCGAGCTCTCTACTATGGCATTCCTCACAATCATAATCTGATTTTGGGACGTAAATAATACCCATGGACATTATTATTTTAAATCTCATAGTTGGATACTTGTGTATAAAGTGAGAACGAGGTCCGCTCTTGTGTTGAAATGCCGGGGCTTTGGTGGGTAGATATGACAATTCATAGAGAGCAAAAATGACTGGCAACAGGTAGGTGCAGCCTGCTCAAAGTTTCTTGCGATCAAGCGAGGTCATCGACTGTTTTATGTGGCTCTTTTTCTTACATGAAATACTTGTGTTACCCTTATTATGTCTTAAGATTGCAAAAACTTAGCGAAACGCCAGCATAGCGATTGCCTCGCACGTAACGACATGGAGACCCAGAACGAACAGCAGCCGCAAGAGAAATGTATCCGCGTGTAGATGAGATGTTGTTGGGATGTTGCCTATTTACCTGTACATTACTCAAAATTGAAAAAAAAACTTTCATTGCGCCTCCACCTTAAGTTTGGTGCGCATCAGGCACATCAGCGCGCATCAAAGGAATTGAAAACGGTTTGGGTCTTTGTGATTCTTAAACCCCGACACGATCATGCAAGCAAAGGTCTAGTAAAAGACACCATATTTGTTTATACCAGCTGAGGTTTTCAAGGTGCACCGAAATCTAAATACACGGGTGTGTTCTGCCCTTGATCCTCGTCAAAATGCGGCCCCCGTGGCCGTGAATATGATTGGCTGGGCAGAGGTATGTCCCAACTGTCAGGCTACCACTGCGTCAACAATTACCGACGCATCATTTCTACGCCTGTACACACTCACCATGGCGGTATACGCGCAGCATCGGCCTGTCGCCTTCCAGCACCGTCTGGGTGGGCGCCTGGTGGATAGGCTTCGTGATTACCGGCACCCTGTCGCTGATCCTCTGCGTTCCCATATTCGGCTTTCCCAAGAGGCTACCGGGTGCGAAGGTGGTCCAGAAGCCGCTCGAAGTGGACGCGCGGGCGCTCAGGGGCGACTCGGTGCAGGTGCGACTCGGCGACATGCCCAAGGCCGTGCGCTACCTGCTGAAGAACTACACGTTCCTCTTCATCAGCCTCGCCGCTACCGTCGAGAGTAAGCCTCCTTCGCAGAATCGGCTGGGCCTTACAGCTCACCAGAACTTAGCCGATAACCGTTAACTAAAATGTGCGCTGACAACTATCAACATCGAGTGTCGCTGAAAGCGAATTCGTTTGGGCAAGAGTGCGTATACATTAATCAGGAATTTCACGGATGGGTTTCAGTGTCGCCATGTTAAACTGTTAACCTTCGTGGTTTGTATCTTTAACAACTGAACAAACAATGTTACAGTAGACGCATATGCATAAATACGATTCTGTTCCTGCGTACAATGTTTCATGCCCTCAAATTCACGTCACGATATGCAAAAGTAAGATATCATCTGCTTAACAGCAGAAGATGGCGGTGCCCATGTGTCCTACGGAAAGTAGTCTACACTCCGTTGCATATTCGGCAGTCAGCGCTGTAAAGGTCGCGTAAGAAATTCAGTCGGAAAAGCGTATAACTGCGCGCTGTCTGATAGCCGCGTTTCGTCGTCGTAAGCGCTCGCGCGAACAGAGCAAGGGAGCACACGCCAGGCGTCGCGATGGTTCAGATGAAAATAAAAGACAAAGAAACGCTATGGACGCGTTCACGCTCGAGCAGCTTTCAGACGAGTTAAAGTCAGCTTAGTGTCATCATAACTATGTCTTCTGTGAAGGCAGTACGAGTTAGCGTGTTGAGATGACCGAGGCCGTGCATATTAGTGTGAAATATATTATAGATACACCCAAAGAGAATATATGTCATTGCTGCCAGCGTGGTGGCCTGAACAACATTGTGATTCTAAGCTGTGGGATCGAAGGGCAACAGAGATAGGGAAAATTCATTGGCACGCCAATGTTCAGTGCACTACATTCTGGCCATCGAGAGTTTTTATTACGTTGTATAGTTGTTACAATTACTAATGTCAATATCAGCGCTTCACCCGTTAGGTGCCACTCTGACTTCTCGTTCCATGTCGTTGGTCTGCACTGCCAAGTTCAGATGTTACAAAGCTGTTACGCATATTTTTTTTCTTTCGCAGCGATGCTCGGCTCCGGCTACTCGAATTTCGCCGCAAAGCTGTTCGAGTCCGAGTTCGGCATGACCTCGGCGAACGCGGCACTCCTGCTTGGTGAGCGAAATATGTGGCTTTACTGTCTATCGAGCTACTTTGCCCAACACCACAAAAAAAATTCTGGAGCAAGCAAAGCTGCTAGAAGCTTTGGTGACATTCTCTTTTCAAGGATATTTTCGTCCCTCCATGCCACGTACATCTTCCCCTGAACTTTCACCTTGACACTAGGAAGACAAAAATTGGCACGTCATCAAAAGCGGCGATTAAAAGTAATCCAAATTTGCTATAAAGTGAAACGTCTTAACACTAACACAAATCCGTTTGCTGACCCAACTGAACCAATTTGTGTCTATATAGAACAGAACGGGATGTCTGCCACAATCAATCACTGTGAGTGACTGCGATCGTACGACATTTACGTACCTTAAACGTAATCATATACTACCAGTGGTTAGTGCTGTCGGAACGTGTCAGTTCTGCGTTCCGCCATATCTGTTGAAACGCAGAACTGATTCGGTCCCTTGTGCACTCACGTAAGGCGACTTGCAGGCGCAATCAACCTCTTTTTTTTTCCTCAATCAATGTAATGAACCTTACCCACCATCCACCCAACGGTTCCAGCACCTAACATGCCCTCGCGTTGCGTCCAGGTGCCTAGCTTGGTTTTGCACTCGGTCCACTTTTTATCAAGGTACGAAGTCGTGTGACTACGTCATCGTGTGACATTGCGCACCGTGATGTCTCATTAACGTCACTATGACGTCTTCGCCGTACAAATTTGGCCGACCTGTGACGTGTGGCTGACCTCTCAACGTGACCGGCGCAAAAATGTTTGCGACCTTTCAAGTGCGATCGGCGTAATAAATTTCGCATGCGCTGTGTTTCCTTTCTTTTGTATCGCTCTGGAACAGACAGGGATGGCACGGGTGAAATTTACGTCACGCACGCGTCATGACCTTGACCACTTTTTGAATTTTGAATGCAAAGCATTTCTTTGTGTGCTGCAGACGCTTTGAGCGTTTCCATCTATCTATCTATCTATCTATCTACCTATCTATCTATCTATCTAGACCCGCTGCGGTGGTCTAGTGTGTATGGTACTCGGCTGCTCATGATCCGCAGGTCGCGGGATCGGATCCCGGCTGCGGCGGCTGCATTTTCGATGGAGGAGAAAATGTTGTAGGCTCGTGTGCTCAGTTTGGGTGCACGGTGAAGAAACCTAGGTGGTGGAAATTTCCGGAGCCCTCCACTACAGCATCTCTCAGAATCATATGGTGGTTTTGGGACATTAAATCACCCATTTCAATCAGTTATCTATCTATCTATCTATCTATCTATCTATCTATCTATCTATTTATCTATCTATCTATCTGTCTGTCTATCCCTCCAGCCACCTATGTCTGGGTGCTCTCGTGATCACCCCCTTAGCTCAGGATGGGCCAAAATCAGTGAGTGAATAAGAGGGTTGGACAGATATATCTGCCTGCTGAACAACGTGAAGATCCCGTGACATGAACAACGTGAAGAATTCGCCGCGTACCTCGTCAAACTGTGTCTGCCGAACCATCCACATACCCGCTTACCACGGGCCGTGGTATGCTTGTATAAGCCACAGGTGGTTGACAGTTTCTATAGGAACGGCGAGAACAGACACTGGTAATCTTAGTGCGATAGCGTTGAGAAACAGTGACTTCGGCAGCATTAACCAAACGAATGTAAAGAATGAAAAGTCAGGGTACCAGCTTCAATCACACCCAAGCATTCTCTGAGACAATCCATGCTATAGGTGAAATGGCTATCGAAAATGACCCTACGAGTGCGCAATGGCGGTGAACCGTATATTTTGGTCGCAATAATGGCTATCAAATTCTGTAAACATTGCATATTATCACGCGCTAAGAGCTCGGAGGAACGTACAAAGGGACGCGACTGTTAAATCTCATAGACAAAGAAGGACGTCTCCGCTGGCACGGGTTGCTCGTCTTCGTCTTCCTCGTTCACCGGCACAGAACTGACCCACTGTTCACTGGCACAGAACACCAGGTGGCATTACTCCTCTTCCCAAGAGAGCATCGACCCGATGCTCAAACAAAAGTGTGCACAACAGTGGGTCGAAGTAGGCAACTTAAAGAAACATTAAACAAATTAGTGCACGAGAGAAAATGCGTCCTTCGCCCGGCAATCAGAAATAAACGGCATTCACTGTTCACATGAAGAGTTCACTGGCACAAGAAGGGAATTCGCATCACCGCGTAAAGTATGGTTTTAGGCGGACTACGTGTACAGTCTCTGGGCGTGGTAACCTGCGCTGGGATGATGGTGAGCCTCCGTCTGGAACCACTTCGTAGTTCACGTCGCTCACACGTCTGAGTACTTTGTAAGGTCCGAAGTACTTCCTCAAGAGTTTATCACTGAGACCTCGCCGCCTAATGGGTGTCCAAACCCAAACTTGGTCACCAGGTTCGTAATTAACTTCTCGATGGTGGATGTTGTACCGCCGTGCATGTGCGTACTGCTGAGTTCGGATGTGCCCACGGGCCAGTTGACGTGCTTCCTCAGCACGCTGAATGTACTCATTGATGTCGGTTACTAATTGGTTGAGCTTGTCGATGTTCTCATACGGAATCATGGCGTCTAGCATAGTTCTAACATCTCGACCATAAACGAGCCGGAAAGGCGTGAAGCGTGCAGTTTCCTGCGTTGTAGTGTTATACGCAAATGTTACATACGGCAGGATGTCGTCCCACGCTTTGTGCTGCACATCCACGTACATAGAGATCATGTCGGCTAGCGTTTTGTTTAGCCTTTCTGTTAAATCATTACTCTGAGGGTGATACGCAGTGGTCTTTCGATGGGTTGTGTAACTCAACCTGAAGATATCATCCAAGAGTTTCGCTGTGAATGATGTCCCTCGATCAGTGATGACATATGACGGGGTGCCATGCCGTAGCACAATTTGATTCATAAAAAAACTGGCAACTTCAGATTCGGTCTCTCGTGGCAACGCCTTCGTCTCAGCGTAACGCGTCAAGTAATCGGTAGCGACAATAATCTATTTGTTGCCGGAAGAAGACAAAGGAAACGGGCCTAGGAGGTCCATCCCCAGTAGTTCAAACGGTGTACGTGATGGATCGATCGGTTGTAGATGGCCTGCAGGCTTTAAATGTGGTGTCTTGCGACGCTGGCATTCACGGCATCCCTTCACGTAGCATTTGACACAGGCAGACATTTTAGGCCAGTAGTAGAGTTGTCGCATCCGATCCATAGTTTTCGAGTAGCCCAGATGGCCAGATGTGGGCTCGTCGTGGCAAGCTAATAAGACGTCATCGCGGAGGGCTTCAGGCACGACGAGAAGATGAGATCTGTCACCAGCACCGGCGTAGAGATGAGATCTGTCACCAGCACCGGCAAAATGATGGCAACGTTCGCGACATCGGACGAGGAATGCGCGCGGTGCCACCTTCTAAGTGATCTATAATCATTCTTAGATCGGCGTCATTTCGTTGATGAGACAAAATCTGGTCCGCTGAGAGTTGCCACGAAGGCACCGTCCTCTTCTGCGCTAGTACTGGCAGATTTAAGAGGCGCTCGTGATAGCGTGTCGGCGTCTTCGTGCTTTTTGCCTAACTTGTACACGATGGTGACATCAAATTCCTGTAGGCGAAGACTCCATCGTGCTAATTGTCCTGAAGGGTCTCGTAGATTGGTCAACCAGCACAAAGCATGATGGTCAGTCACCACTTTAAATGGTCTTCCATAGAGATATTGCCTAAACTTTGTAATTGCCTAAATGACCGCGAGACATTCTTTCTCTGATGTGGAATAGTTAGATTCTTCCCTAGACTGTACGACTTGCGTAGGCTATTACCCGTTCAATGCGATCTTGTCTTTGTACCAAAATAACTCCAAGACCAATATTGCAGGCATCAGTGCGTACTTCAGTGTCAGCATCTTCATCGAAGTGGCCGAGCACGGAAGGGGAAGAGAGCCGGTGCTGTAGTTCCGCAAAGGCAGTCTGCTGTTCGTCAGCCCAGACAAATGGTGTCTCATCACGCGTGAGGCGTAATAGCGGCTCCGCAATGTTAGATAAATTTTCAATAAAGCGCCGGTAATACGCGCGCAGACCCAGAAATCATTGAACACTTTTCTTGTCAGTTGGAGGTGGAAAAGCGGGGACGGCAGCAGTTTTGTCAGGATCAGGCCGAACGCAAAACGGCGCTCACGACGTGACCAAGAAACTTTAATTCTTCTAGCGAAATGACATTTCTCAGGCTTGAGTGTGAGATCGGCTGATCTAATGGCTTCTAGCACATTCCGAAGGCGACGAAGATGCTCGCCAAACGTTTCTGAAAACACAACATCATCGAGGTAGACGAGACAGCTTTTCCACTTGAGGTCTGCCAGGATGGTGTCCATCATTCGCTGGAATGTGACTGGAGTGGAACAGAGGCCGAAAGGGAGCACTTTGAATTCATAAAGGCCATCCGGCGTTACAAAAGCGGTCTTTTCCCGGTCACGTTCATCGACCTCTTTTTGCCAATAACCGCTCAAGTCGACAGACGAAAAATACTTCGCGCGTCGCAGCTTGTCCAGAGAATCATCGACTCTGGGCAACGGGTACACGTCTTTCTTTGTTGAATTGTTCAACTTCCTGTAGTCGACACAAAAGTGAAGCGTGCTATCTTTCTTTTTCACAAGAACGACTGGTGATGTCCAAGGACTGCTTGAAGGCTGTATCACGCCATCCTGAAGCCTTTCCTTAACCTGCGTTTGAATTGCGTGCCGTTCGTTTGGCGAAACATGATAATGCTGCTGCCGTATGAGATGCGCGTCGTCATAGTTGATAATACGATGTTTCGTTATCGGTGTTTGACGTATCTTCAAAAAACGTGCAAAGCATGTGTGGAACTCCAGCAACAGCTCGCTCAAACGCTGCTTGTTCGCTTCAGAAAGCGTTGGATTTATGTCGACGCTGCGGAAAAGCGCTTCAGCAGTGCTGATGGCCTCAGAAGCAAAACACTCTGTGAAATTGGCGACTGGGTCGGCGTAGGCGATGA